CACTTGCTATGCATCAGAGAGCTGGACAACGACTAAAGTTGACAGAAGAATTGATGCCTTTGAGTTTTGGTGCTGGAGAAGAGTGTTGACCATACCATGGACTATCAAGGGAACAGAAAGGTTTATCCTACAGAGGGTGAAACCAGGCTGCTCCCTGGAGGCAAGGATTTTGAAGCTCCGTCTCACACTTTGGGCACAGGCCCAGACAGGACCAGTCCCTGGAGGACATCATGCTTGGAAGGGTGGAGGGACAGCGCAGGAGAGAAAGACCTCAGATGAGATGGATTGACAGAGTAACTGGGGCAATGGGGGTAGGTGTGTAGGAGACAGAGAGATGGCTCAGGACAGGGCAGGGTTCAGAGCTGGTGTACACAGGGTCGCTATGAGTCACTGGTGACTTGATGGCACAAAACAAGAAAAAGACATGGTTGAATTGGCGTATATTCAACTGTGTATATTCTCAACAACAAAATGCATGAAACAATATGTTTAAAAGAGAACCCTGGTGGTGTGGTATGTAGGGAGCTGTACTGCTAACACAGAGGTGGCACCTCTCCGGTATTTCGAATCCACCAGCTGCTCTGAGGGAGAAGAGGTGGCCAAACGCCTCCCATGCAAGTTCCAAGCCTCTGAAAACCTGCTGGAGGATCAGCTGGGAGTCAGCTGGTTCCATTGTCATGGCAATAAGTTTTCAGTTAATTTATTTTAAAAATGAGCAAATTCTAATGTAAACCATAGGCTTTAACCCGAAGGCCTGGCTCACTGCTTCTGGGTGGATTCAGACTCACAGTGACCATCCCTCCGGCCACCCCACGTCAGGCTTCTGAAACACACAGTGTCACGGCCACCAGCACAGCATGCTATGGGCTATGCCACCAGAGCTCTAAGCTATAGATTTTAGTTCATGCTAACATTATATATAAGTTCATTCATTGTAACAAATGTGTTAGACATTAATAGGGGAAACTTCAGGGTAGTTGGAAATGCTTTCTGCACAATTTTTCTATAAACCTGAAGCTTTTCTACACAATTTTTCTATGAACCTAAGTCCTCTCCTACTTTAAACAATCCCACAAAAATATACAAAAGTCATTGTCATCAAGTCAGAACTCAAAGCTGACCCTCCAGTGGGTTTGCAGGAGGCTGTAAATCACACGGTAGGAGATGATCCATCTCTCACCCTCACAGCTGCTGGGGCATTTGAACCACCAGAGAGACACTGCCTTTGGGTCAGCAGTACTCCCTGCGGTGAGGTGGTGGGGATTAAGGAGATGAAAAGACCGAAGGGAGAAAGGCAGGGAAAGAATCAGGCAGATGCCCCGTAGCTTCAGGACAGCAACAGTGGGACCTACAGAGGCCTGGGGATGACAGGCCACATGGAGGAACGGGTAGGGTGTCGGACCAGCATTCCAGTGTCCTCTAGCTGAGCTTTCTGAGATCAAAGCCTGACAATCTGAACCTTTGTAATGAATGTGGTGGTGTTGTTGAGTACCACTGAGTCAGAACTAACCCATAGCTAACTCTCTGGCAGGTTTTCAGAGGCAGTTGATAGCACAGGAGGAGACTGCTAATCCTTCTCCCGAGGAGCAGGTGGTGGCCTTGAACTGTGTGCCTTGGGGATTTCAGTGCAGGTTCTTACCATGAGGCTACCAGGGCTCCTTGTAGTGAATGGATTTGAGAATTTCAAAGAGAGGGAGGCCCCCGAGCCCAGGTGTTATCATGAATGATTTCCTGCTGCCCACACCTAAGGTACTGTCTGTGTGCGCGCGTGTGCAGGGGTGTGTGTGTGTGTGTGTGTGTGTGTGTGTGTGTGTGTGTGAAGTGTGGGATTCTGTCCTGTGAACTTTCCCAGTTCCTGTCTCAGCACCCCAGGAATAGCTTTGCACTTGCAGAATCCTAGAAATGCTGGTGCAGGTAGGGCCCCTTACTTCCCCCCATCAGCTCTGACCTGCTTGTTCGACAGGCCAGGGACACCAGCAGCTGAGGCAGGTGACGGACTCACCCCAGGCCACACATTCAGCCAGGACTAAGGCCTACAATCTTGGGGTCCCTGCTTACCTGTGCCCTTTTTACACGTGAAGGGCAGGTGGTAATTGCAGGGGACGTCATTCCATTCACCCTTCTCGTGCCAGATCATCACCACGCAATCCTCTCCAGCAGCAAAGAAGTTGTCTGGCTGGTTGGGGCGCCAGTGCTCAAATTGCTGTGGGCAGGATAGGGGGTGAGGGAGGAAGCATGATGAGAGGGCCGGAACCGCGCAGCCTGGAGCCACCCTTACGTTCCCCTTCATCATGCCTCTCTTGTGTCTCCTTTCTGATTCATCCAGGAGCAACACAAAGGCTGCTGGGAGTCTGGTCAGAGTTGTGCTTGGGTCCTTAAAGGAGCTGAGTACACAGCCTGGCTTTGGTCCCTTCCTGGAAGTCAGGCCTTCAAGGAGACACAGTCTTGCTCATAAACACTGATTCTCCATTGACAGTTAGTCCCTGACTACTTGTAACTCTCTGAACAAAGAGGAAAAAACGCTGCCTGATTCTGTACTATCCGCATGCTTGACGGCAGATGGAACCATTGGGTTTTCTTAGGAGTTTCACTGGCTGCTGATTCTCAGCAGCAGATGGCCAGGCCTTTCTTACTAGTCTACTTTAGTCAGAAATCTGTTCAGCATTGTAACAACATATAAGCCTCCACTGATGGACGACACTCCCCTTTTTTCAAATAGGCAAACAAAGGTTCACTCCATCATCTAGTTTGGCTTGGACTGAGTGGGGAGTATGCTCTGGACTCTGCCCCTGGTTCTTCCTCCAGCCTTGCTTAGGGCAAAGCTGTCTCCTTCTAATTTAATGCTTAGTCCCAGCCTGCTCTTCCTCGGGGCTCCCTGAGCTCCTGCACCATTTTATTGATTGTATAGTTCATTCAGGAGTCCTGGCAGTACAGTGGTTAAGTGCTTAGTTGCTAATTAAAAGGTTGGTGGTTCAAACCTACCCACAACTGCCCAGGAAAATGATATGGCAATCTGAAGAGTGCAGCCTTGGGAACCCACTGGGCAGTTCCACTCTGTCATGTGGGTCACTATACATCAGAACAGATTGCACTTAACAGCAACATAGTTCATCTGGTATCTGTGTGTTGCTTTTTGTTTGTCTCCTTGAGTGAACTCAAGGAACCTCTTTTATTTTAAACACATCCCTCAGAAAGGTGTGGCTTCAGTCATTCATTTCCCTCCTCAAATGGTCATTCCCTCAACTTGCCCAACCCTGTGCTGGTCTCTGGAGACAAAGAATGATTATGACCGATCTTCACTCTCCAGGGCCCATGGTCCAGCAGCTGCCCAGGGAACACTGGTTTGAATGTTTATTCTGTCGTCTCTGATGCCCCTTGCCTGACTCACCAAGGTGTGTCCATCTGACCAGCGGAAGTCCCCTTGGATGGTTCTGTCATTAAGGCCGATCCACTGGTAATCCTGAGCGTTGTCTGGGGAGAGGACACAAGCGTTGGGCACTGATGGTGCCTGACAGACCGGAGCTCATAGAGGGGTTTGGGAGGTGGTGGTCTCCTCCCAAGGATGGGAGGGGGAGGCATTGTGCCCCCCTGCCTCTGGAGTCTTCAGAAGGCTCTCACATACATGTTGGCAGTGGACCTTGGCCACCTTCCCAGACTGACCTGGGCTAGTGACAGAGGTCGGGTGGCTGGTTCTGACCCACAGCGGGCTGTTCTGGCTGCAGCCAAAGCTTCTGGTCCCTTTGACCCCTGGGAACTCGGATGTGCAAATGCCCTTTTCTCCTCCCTCGCTCACCCCTCAGCCTCACTGGGCCCCACACTTACTGTTGACAAACTCCTGCTCCTCAGGGGTGATGATGCTGCTCAGATGGGACTGGTGCTCCCGACACTGGCTCTCTGCGTCCACCCAGGTCTTACGGTCCGGGAAGTGGCGGTAACAGTGGCCCTGGAACTTGGTCCAGCCCTGCTCACATACCTCCTGGTCTACAACGCAACACAGGTCAGGGGCATGAAGGGGGTCCAGGGGCTGCCTAGGGAGAGCAGTTCCTGCTGCTCTGAACCCCTGCATTCACTCCACCTTAAACGTCATGTGGATAAAGAGGGAAAAATGCCCAGCCAGAGTGCTAAGTCAGAAAGGCCTAGCTATGACCTCAGGGGCCTCAAAGCAGAGAGTCCTGTTCTGGAAGACTCCCAGGACCGCTCATCTCCCTGCTGTAGCCCCTGAGGCTTTTCCCTTGACCTTGACAAGGTCTGGTGGGGAGAGTTCCCAGCTCTATCTTCAGCATAGCCTAGCAGGCCAAGAGAAGGGGTGAGAAGGTAGTTTTGACATTTATGGCAAATGTGGTTCTGAAGCTCTGAGGGGCTTGGGAGAGATGCTGGGGGCACATGGGTGGAGAAACTGGGAGTGGACATGAAAAGGAACCTGAGGTGGGGCCGTCTGCTCTGAATCCATCGAAGGCTCCTCTGGCCCTGAGAGTTCCTTTGAGCATGCGCATAGCCAGCCACTGAAGCTGGAGGGAGGCAGAGGAGGCCTCATGACCCAGGGCTCTGTCATGTGTGTGTGTGTGTGTGGGTGTGTGTGTGTGTGAGAGAGAGAGAGAGAGAGAGAGAGAGAGAGAGAGAGAGAGAGAGAGAGAGAGAGAGAGAGAGAGACTGGAATAGGTGGTGCCTGTTCCCTCCATGAACTTAAATTCTGAATAAGGCCTGGGGCTGGTTGGGACAGCCTTGGGCAGCCTGGGGACAGAGGCAGGGCTGCAGAGACTTTGTGATGAGAGCTTTGAACTAGTTCTGGTGGGAGAGTTCTGAGACTCTTTCTTTCTTTGGGGTGGGGTGAGTATCCGAGGTGAAGGGCTGCCCCAGGGACTGAATGCAGAACTCTGAATCCCCAGGCTGTGTGATAGATTCCCTGATTGGGTGCCAACAGCTGTCTCGCTGTTGCAGAAAGGACAGAAGGATTGGGCTGAGAGAGAAGATGCTGGTTAAGGCTGGGCTTGAGACTCTTGGGAATTGCAGGGGGAGAGAAGCCCTGGGGGCTGGCAGCCTGAGAAGACAGTCTGGGCAGTGGGAGGGGCTCAGGAGGGTATCTGTGCCCCTTGTTGCCTCTTTTCAGAAGGCAAAGCAAAGGTCTGTGAAGAAGGCAGGAGGAGCTACGGGAGAAGCTCAGCATGGAAGGAGACATTCCAGGATGGTTGGGGTTCATTACTTGGGCCACTTTTGGTGCCTAAGGTTTGAGCTTGGCAGGCAGCACTGGAGGGCAGCCTCTCCAGGAGGAAGATAGGGGCATGCAGGATGGAGGCTCTGGGCAAAGAGACAGAGAATGCTGGGAAAGCTGGAAGAAGCAGCGCGGCCAGAGCCAAGGCGTGGACCACCCTCAGGCACTGAGGGTGCAGGATTGGAAGGGACCAGATCATATCCAGCTGCGTGATCCTGCATCTCTGCGCCATCAGGACACACAGCTCTGGGCCCCGCCCCTGCCAGCCGCTTCTCTTGCTCTCATGTATCTGGAAACTCAAGAGCTGTTGTGGGCACGAATGTTCGGACAGATCCCATTCCCCTCTGGCAAATGTTTTAGTAAGACGGGGAGAAAATCCTTGTAGCTTTCCACTTCCTTCTTAGCCAAGACTCCCTGCACAGGTTCTTCAGGGTCTGGGCTAAGATGAAAGGGTTCTGCAGGGGAAGAGAAGAGTTTAGGCTTTTCCTTCCAGAAGCGTTAAATTCCTGCACTATTCTGTATCGTTGGCATTGCCTCTGAGGAATATGCTGTCCAAATCTACCTCCTCTGCCCAGCTGTTCTTCTGGAAGCTTCTGGGATGGCCAGCTTGAGAATTCACCGACAATGGTTTTGCACCTCTACCCGCTTCTGCTGCCATCAACCCAAAGTCCCACACAGCCCTTTCTGAGTTGAGAAGGCCCTGAAATCTAGAAGGATGGGCGGAGATGAGTAAGAATCCAGAAGGGAGATAGCTGGAGGCTCAGCACTCTCCCAGGAGAGCTCCTGGCACACAGATCCCGAGTAGAGCCAGAAGCTCAGCCCAGGTGCAGAAGTGGAGGGTCTGGCAAGGCCTCCCTCCCTGCAAGGCCACTCTGCTCCCTGAGGCCAATCCTTTGCCTTACAAAGGAGCGGGAGCAGGCAGCCCAGGCTTGAGTGGCAGTGACAGAACAGTTGTTACTGGGGTGCTGAGGTCGAGGGACATGCAGCGGTCCCTGCTCAGGTATGTTGAGCATGCTGGTGACACCCCAGCTGTCAGGCAGACAAGGAAGCAGCTCAGCCAGCGTGACACAGTGGTTTCTAAGGCCAAAGGCAAGAGAAAAGGCAGGCACACACCTACCACCATGCTGGAAGGGTCTGCAATCCTGTACCAGACAAACGCATCTTCCCACCCTGCAATTCCCCTCAAGACCAATGCGAAGAGTCAGCATTTGCCCACTGTCCGACTCACACACCGACCTCAGACCTCAGTGCTGAGCAGCCGGTCTGAAAGTCCTGGAGAAGGTTAGTGTTTTAAAGGCCCCCCCGAAGCCCCACCTTCTAGAGTGCAGCCTGGCTCAGCCTGCACAGCTGTCCTGAGGTCAGATTGGCTAAGGCCCTCTAGGAAGGTTTTCAGGGGAAACAACAAGAGATGGAATGAGTGAGTGGGGTAGGTTTCTCAGAAGTGGCCCCTGGAATGGCCCTCGGGGGCCCCAGCCCGGGCCTCGGGCCTGTAGTTAAAAGGGGAGGTGGAGGAGGAGAGGATGCAGCAGTTAGTGACATTAGCTGAAGCCGAGACGGCCGTACCAATCTCACACAGGTCCCCTCCGTAGCTGGGAAGGCATAAGCATGTGAAAGAGTCGATGGCGTCCACGCAGGTGGCTCCATTCAGACAAGGGCTTGAGAGGCATTCATCAATGTCTGCAAGAAACCAAGGGCCACCATTAGGACTCCTGCCGGCAACTCCAGCTGCGGAAGAACTGTGGCCTCCTCATGGATGGCCATTCCCGCTGCTCTCCAGAGCCCTGGCAAGGGACTTGGCTGCTTTTCCCAAGAACTGTTGCTGCTGCTGCTGCTGCTGCTGCCACTGCCGCCATCTTGGAGTGCTGAGCCAAAAATCCAGACAAGGGTTTTCTTGGATGTGTGCTGCCTGGCAAGCTTGGAGGATCAGAGTCCAGTTTCCCGGCAGGTTGAAGAGATCTTGTTCTTCTGAAGCCAATGCCCTTCGTGACAGTGGTCCTCTCAGAGGCTCTCTAGTGAACACTGAGGGAAGGAATGGGGTGTGAACTGGCTTGGACACAGTGGTGAGGAAGGACACCAAGTCAGGCTCCTGAAGCTTGGTTAGAGTTCTTTCTCTTCCACCTGGGACCTGGCCTCCACTGTAATTATGAACCAAGCAACGTTCTGCAGCACAGAATGAACAAGCTAGAGGTGATTTGCAGATCCAAGGCCAATGAGATGGTGGCAGCGTGGGGCGTGCAAACAAAACTCGATTTATCTGGTTGCAGATACTCCTTTCTTTGGTAAGTAAGATTTCAGAGGACCTTATAAAGACGAAGCCAGCATCTCCTTCTTGGAGAGGAGACAAATATTGTCCAACCTCCCAGTGTAAACTGCCTTCAAACATAAGGTCCCAGAAAATGGACATCTCCATCAGGTCCCAGTTACTGAGGGGTTCCATCCTCACTGGTGGGAGACAAGCCTTTGAAGCTGGTGAGGCCCTTGGTAAGTAGCTGCTAACCAGGACCAGCGTGGGATGATTCTCATTAGCCACTTTTTCTCAGGAAGCTTTCTGGTCCTTCGATGTTCTTTCTGATCGAATTCTCCTGTTATTGACCTTTGCCTTCCAGTTTCTTGCATTAGCCAGTATCAGAACTGATCCACCTCATCTGGTCTTTCTGGACCTCGAAGGATCTTTCTGCCTTCTTTGTATTCCAAAGGCTCTTGCTGGTTTTTTCTGGTTTTCTTCAGAGCACAATAAAAAGGTACTATGGAACTCCTCTTCCCAAGGTATCCTTAAAAGTGGTACATCGTGGCACTTAATGTGCTTTAAAGCTGCTTAGCCTTAGTAGGTGCAGCTGTATCACACAACCTCTAGGATCCAACGAGATGTCGACAGATGATTTGTATGTAAGCAGCTGAACTCTGTGTTGGGGGAGGACCCCAGAGTCCTATCTTCCAGGACTTAATACTTGCCTCCCATGAGCCAACCACCAGAAAATGGACATCCTCCAGCAAGTCACAGTATTGAGGGATTCCATCCTCATTGGTGGGAGACAATAATTTGAATTCTGGCCAAACCACTTTCCTCTGGATCCTTACAAAGGTCTGGATCCTAGACATTCTTAAGCCAGAGTTGGGTTTGTGCAACAAGTGGCCTGAAAGAATCTCTAGTCCTCAGGTTTTTCCTCCTTTCTCACGAAGTGCTTAACTTCATCTCGGGGAATGCGCGGCAGGTCCAACAGTTCCAAGTCTGAAACTGTTCCAAGCAAACCCAAAATGCATGGAGGAATGTGCTGAGATCCCAGCATGCACTTGGATTCCCAGCATGCACCAGGATTCCCAGCAGCAGCAGTAGCAGCAATAGGTCAGGACAGAAGCTCGGGGCGCCTCTTCTGCTTTGGGAAAGCCAGTGTTCTCTCTTGTCCATTAGCATCATTATGTAAAGCACTGGGTGAGGGAGAATTAAGCAAATGTAGGCGCTAAAGCAGTTGAACAGAGCAAGGGACAGAAGTGGCCTCTGGGAAGAAGAGCCAGGCACCACCCTGTGGTCTCTGGTCAACCCATGCAGGCTGGGAAAGGAGAGTCCTCAAAGGTGTCTAGCCAGGCAGCTCTATTATCACAGAGACTTGTTTCATATCATGGCTGCTGCGCCCCAAGACAGGGTTGTTCTGCTTCTGTATTTGGCCAGATAATAAGATGTGAGGAGGCTAAAGTGACTGACCAAGGAACCCATTTGTAAACTCAGAGGCTTCAAGCAGGGCACTGTATTCACAGAAAGAGAGAGAAGGACCACAGTTCCAAAGACAGGAAGAGCCTGCAGGTGCTGCTGGGATGATTCAGAGAGGCCAGAGCCAGCCATGCCGGCTGTGGGGAGCGTGTGACCCAGGGTAACTCCTGGACAACTTGTGGTGCTTCTTTGCTCCTTTTCAGGCTGGAAGGGCCCACCCCTTCTCTGTGAAGGGCAGCAGGAAGGACACACACACTTTAGGGCTTCATGAGGCGAGAGAGGAATACGGCTGAGCCCTGCTGTGAACAGGGTGGGCATGTGAGGGGCAGGGGTAGGATTGGGTGGCTGAAGAGGGATCCCAGTGGGGGAAGGGAAGAGCTTTGGGCAATGGGCAGATTTTATGAAGGAAGAGAAAGAAGGAAGGAAGGGACCATTATCTGTAAAGAACCTTCTCTGAGGCTGACTCTATTTCTCACACGCCTGGTCTTCCCAGCAGCATGCTGCTGCATGGACTCCATGGTGGCATTTCACAGGCAAGGAAACATGTGAAGTGACTTGCCCACGAGAGGGAGTGTGAGAAGGACCAGAAGGGCTGGGGGAGACTCAGGACATGAGGCTGGAAGGTGGGCCTTTGCTTCGGTGGAGGGAGGAGAATACTGAGTCAGGGACTCTTAGCACTAGCTACATCCTAACAGGAGCCCACAGTGCACAGAGACTCACTGTCACCATGCCACCACGACAGGAGGCCATGCCACCCAGGCTCTCTCATCACCACAACAGGGGCCCACTGTACCCCTGCTCACTATCATTATGTCACCGTGACTGGAGCCCACATACACAGGTCTGTCACCATGTCACCACACCCAGGGTCTGACACTGTATGAAAATGGGCTCAATCTTACAGTAGTAGTAGTTACCCCTGAAGTACATTATCACCACCTAAGATTTAAACCCCCCAAAATCCAGGCCATGAGAATGTTCACTCAAAACCTGCGAAATCCTGGGGTGGGGCCCGGGCATGAGAATTTTATAACTCTGAGATCTACTTTGTCACTATTTATAAATAGGAAAGTGAAGGTTTGGCGATGAGTATCAGAAGGGACCTAACCCTGATTCCGCAGCCCTCCCCATTCTGAGCTCCCTCAGGTCCGGCCTCAAGCTCTCAGAGACCATCTCTGTGTTCTTTATTCAGCTGAACGTGTTAGACACGAGTTAAGACCGCACTCCTCGTGAGCTGATGGGTCATTTACTCAGTGGAGGAGAGAAATTACTTGTCCTTTTGTGTTCCAGTTTCAGATAGGAATGTTGCCAAGCACTGGCAGAGCTGCTTTGGGGAAATAACTGTGGGAAAGAAAACCCTTAGGAAATAAACGTGCTAAAAGAGAGGCTGTCCTTATAGCAAGATAGTTAAGACCATGAGTCACCGACTTCTACTAATTTTAGTCCTCTTGCCCCCATCCCCTTCTGTGGCATCTGATACTATTATTATTATTGTTGTTGTTGTAACCAACTCATAGCTAACTCTTTAGCAGATTTTCAGAGGCAGTTAAATGCAAAGGAGAAGACTGCCCATTTTTCTCCCATGGATGGCTGGGGATTTGAACCTCCTGCCTTTGGGCTGGCGGCACAATTCTTTAACACTAAATCACTAGTGTGACATTTTTGCTCCACATGTTGGAGGAACATTGCTAAGAACAGAGAAAAGTGATAGAGGAAGCTAAAGTGGAGAGGTGGGTGCTGGTCCTGGAGGTGCCCCAGTCCTGGAAGTACAGTGGGTACTCTGAGACTCTTCCATGCAGACCTGGGCTGAGCTGGCTGACGGAGCTGGGCTCCCTGGAGCTTCCACCCCAAGGCAAGTTTGCCCCCCCCCGACACACATGTATGAAAGAAGTAAATACAGGCAGTTTCCACCAGGGACAGAGCCCACACCCTGGGCCCACAGAGGAGTCTTCCCATGCATGACTTGTTGGAAAGCTTGTAGGATCTCCTCAGGCCCCCGGAGGGCAAAAAGGGCTTTTACCTGATTATGAACCTAAAGGTTGGCAGCTTGTACCCACCCAGGAGGAAGTGGAAGAAAGACCTGGTGATCTACCCACCCAGCAGGATGTGGAAGAAAGACCTGGTGATCTACCCA